CAAAAACCACGAAAAAAATGTCCCAAGTCAACCTATTCGAAATTTAAATTGTAATATCATCGCAGTATCGCGCTGTCAGTCGAACAAATGAAGACTAAAGCGGAGTTTGGCGCTCTGTATACGATTTTAGCGCCTTACAAGTACGGACACTTTTTAGCGCGGACCCGACGTCCATATAATTAATTGTAAGTCAATGATTTAATCACATAGTTTCGTGTTTACGTACAATTCAATTTATATACCAGTTAATTTTTAGTAGCACTAGGGCTCTAAGTCAGAGAGATCGTCCAGGGAAGTACTGCCACCTTATCTATTTCTGCCACCGCAGTAATGTGAGCCTTATTGCATTCGGGTTTTGAAGGATAAGGGCGCGTTTATTATTACACGGCCGCCGCGCGGAGACCGCGTGGCGCCACGCCGCGACCGCGTGCATCTAACTGTCATGGCGGAGTACGTTCTATTTATTTGACTATGGCTTCGTTCCCACTATGACCGGCGAATTTGCCGGGTTGGTAAAACTTCCGGAAAGTTTATATGAAGCTATTCACATTACGCCGGACCCATAAAGCCGGGTCCGGCATTGTTGCCGGAGCGTTTGTTACTGCGGACCGCCGGCAGAACGCCCGGACCGGAGTAATGTGAATGAACTTGCTTAGTCTTGCTCCGGTATCCGTGACCCCCGCTCGCACCACCTGTACTTTCCGCGTGTCTTTTTGGCGTCCATCCAAAGAGGATACTGTCATTCGAAAATAATTAAAAAACTTTGACTCGTCATTTCTCAGTTGGCTCATTAATGTTTCAAAAGTTCCAAGTGAAAATCTTTCCCGTAATATAGGATGTAGCCAATGTTTTTTTTACTTTATTAAGCCTTCTAAGTTACCAGCACAATACCACAATTTCGTCGTCTATCGTGCGCAGTGACCTGAATTCGACTGAGGGAGGACTTTAGTATCCGGTTTTCTTGCGAGATCCGGCTTAATGTGAACACCTAGTCCGAGTGCCGGTTTACCGGCAAATTCGCCGGTTCGGCATAGTGGGAACGAGGCCTATGACGTTTTAACTTAAAGGAGCGCCCCGGGCGTGCGGGCGAGACTGGCTTGTCTATGATCTACGCGGCGGCCGCGCGGCGTTATATTGTTCTGAGGAATTTACATGCTGTTGCCTAGCAAATAGAATTCAGATTCGCCATCAATTTTGGCGTCGTGTAACTGGGAACTAAAGGTGCTGGTGAAATTACGGGCACTTGGGACTTGTCACCTTATGTCCCAGATTTAAAGCTCTGAATGGTACTGCCACTGCTATGGACAGGCGTGTCGCTTACGGCCACTTAGTATCATAAAAAAATTACTTGCAAAATATACGCCTAGACGTGGAGTTGCGGATACTGGTCCGTTACACCAAGCCATATCTATTTAATTTATCATTTGATTAAAATACTCCTTTCGAGGAGACACGTTCTCAAGGTATCCATACCTAGAGTGGGACGTATATGTATAGGTGGATAATGAGGAAGGAAACGTAAGCAAAGTAAGCATCATCGAGTATATAACCAGAAATAGAGACGAAATCTGCCCTCCTAAGTAAAGGTGCAGTAATTGAGTCAAACCTGTTCTCGAGAAAAACGTGATTAAGAAAATAATTCAAAAATTTACTGTATCTTCAAAACTACGCAAGTTACATGGCATATATCAATAGAAAGGTAAAAGAATGAAGAATTGTAAGGTGACATATTTATATATGTATGTTAAGGATATGTATTATAATATTTCAAAAATATACTTAGGTATGTTTAGTAACTGCTCTAGTAGCACAACTGATCCTCCTAACCATAACGGCAGTAAGTACCTTAGATACTGCACTTATTATTACATAAATATCGAACTGCTAATTAATCTAGAAACTACATATTCAAAAACAAATTAACAATAATATATATATAATAAATAACTGCAGTATCTATTACGTTACTGCAGTTTTTGTGAAAAATACACTTCATATTGATGTTATTTTCTAATGTTTTATACAGTCGAAACTCACAATTTGTTAGTATTTTCTTACGAAACATCGACGTAAAGTGTTTTTTTAGTTTTTGAGAATATCGGTGGCCTAATTTCCTCCCTTCACTTTTTTCTTTCCTCTTTTCTCGCTTCCTTCCCTTCTGTAGTGTTAGCAACGACTAAGTAATGCCACTGGTATTACAAGCGTACATGATAGGCTACGGTAAGAGTTCGAGTCCTATTGTTTATTGTATACACAAGTGCTTATTCAATAAATAAATGTTTCTATTTCTATTTCCCAAGTCGGACAAAGTGTTAATTGGATTGGGAATATAAAGAGACGATAAAATATAGTATTTTGTATAGATATATTAATTTCGTACATTTATAAAATTAGAATGAAACAAAGAAAATTTCTTTATTATTTATTTGTTCAAATCGCAGATATATTATCTCCAGATATATGAACCCTTAATTACATTTCGATTCACAATAAACTATAGACATAAAATCAAACCTTGCCTTATATTGAAGTTAGTTAAAGTTCAGTCTCCTTATTACAATTACTTAGTTGAGGAACCATAATTTGAGATCACGTTTCTTTATTATAGAACTATATTATTATTAATGCTATGACAACTGCTATAACATTCAGTCTTCTCTGATTAATTATTTTACTTGAGATTACTTTATATGTCAACAATAACACTTTTTCGCAAGTATTTATAAATGTTACGCATTACATACAGAAGAGTATTTCACCTCAAAAGTCGCTCAAAACGATTTTGTGATTTTTATCGATTTGACATGTAATAAAAAGCTGTTTAAAGTCATTATATTGAATTTAAAACACATATTTTCCGTTGTATTGAAAATTAATTGCAAAAAATATAATATTAATGGGATTCGTCGTCATAAGACCCATCGTCATCTTCATTACACCTAAGTTGATGTTGCGTCCGATGCTTCACTTCTCCACTGGAGAAAAATTTACTTTTTTTGCATTGTACCGCTCAAAAAAGGATCAGAATTTAACAAAAGTCTGTGTAAATTGTACCTGCGGGACTTTTTTATTTAAAAACATTATCAAGAATAACTAAGTTTTAAGTTACACACAGAATCATAAGTTAATTAGGCTTAACTGATATACATAACCTTGTGTGAAAATAGTGATTACAAAATAAAGATTATTTTTTATTGTGGAACGCATACGGTAAGATATATCACTTTATCAAGTGCAATCCGGAAAGTACAATTTTAAATTAAAGTATGTACTCTTTAACATTCATCAATAGGTATTACAAAACTTTCACCACACATAAACACAGAATTGGGTTGAAAGATTACGTTTAAACGTGTAACGGTTATTAAGCTTTAACGATGCACGTTTTGTAGATAAATTTAACAAAATTTTTAAAATCGACTTTTGTTCGATTTTTGCTTAGAAATACACCTCTGTGCTATGACTATTGCCACTACCTTAGACACATCATCTCACCAATTATAACTGCAGTATCTATATGAGTTATTACAGTTTTGTTAGAATTGCAACTACTAAAAGTTATAGATTTCCTTATAATAACTGCAGTATCTAATAGATACTGCACTTATAATTAGCTCTAAGATGTTTTGTAAAACATAAATAAAATTAGTGCAGCAACTGTTAGATACTGCAGTTATCATTGGTTCTGAGATGGTAGATTTTGTAAAACATAAATAAAATAAGTGCAGCAACTATTAGATACTGTGTTTATTGCTAGAATTCCATCGCCATTGACTTAAAAATTATATAGTAACTAGTCTTACTGCACTTTAAATTAGCAAATATTATATAATAGTACTAAGTTACTGCAGTTTTACTTTCTGTATTACAGGGTTCCCATGGGAATTTTGATACGTGAGTTAGAGCCAAATATAGATATTGTTTTGGTGTTAACGATTATGTATTTACTCAATTTCGTCAAAAATGCTAGTTACTGCACTTTCTTTTAGGACGGCAGAAATAAGGGCCATAAATTTCTGGTAACCCATCAGAGATACATTAATTATAAATATCAACTCTCGTTTGCACTGAAATATAGAATGGCATGCTGTTCCATTCGGTGGTGTGGGGAAAAATAGCACAATATCTAATTATAAAACAAACGGAGTCAAATTTCATCGGTAATTAAATATTAAATATGTAGTTTTCCAATTTTCGTCCTTTATAGCAAAGCTCAAGTTAACTGGTCGATTTGAAGTAAAACAATTGACGACACCCCTTGACGACACCCGTCAATATTTTCGAGTTTCTTATTCGTTTTTGGTTGGCCAATCCGAGCGCAGTTGTCACAGTAATTATATGTCATAAAAGTTTTTAAACAAAATAAATGACATTTCGTCTCTGTTTCTGGTTATATACTCGGTGGTAAGCATAGAAGTATTTTTTGTTCAAGCGTACAGTCTTGAGCAAAGATTTATTTGATCCTTGGAATATGCCTTTGCTTGTAATGATGCCTTTCCAAATACCATATTATCCGGTTGGGTTAGTGTTTGTTGATTGGTCACACAATACATGTTAATTTGTATGGATTGCAATTTCTTATATTAATGCTTAACCCTTCATATAAACCACTTTTGTAACGAGAAATAACAATTATTATTATTGTTACGAAGATCGAACACTAAGAAAACTTCCATTGATCTGGCTGGATTCGAACCAGGGCCTTCAGCATACCGTGTCTGACGCTCTGCCAACTGAGCTACGGAACGAACCAGCAGACCTTACGATTTTTTCTACGTGATTGTTTCAGATCATCGTTTTTGGTTTTTTGGTAACGTTTTTGCCGTCGCGCCATCTGTGAGAAATCTATCAAAGTTTTTCTTGGTAGTAAAACATCATGATATTCAATTAACTTAATATTATAATTATTATTATTATTCTGACTCTGACCATGTTGCAGAATTTCCAAGAATTTTCTTAACGATTATAGATGCCGTAAATTCAGGTCTTTTGTAACTTACCAATGCTTTTCCAGGTTGCTTTTTTCATGGACTTTGCGTACTCCTCCTCACGCTCCAGCTGTTGTACAGCTTCCTCCAGGTCTTTATCTTCGACGGTAGTGCCACGTAGCCATGCTAGACCTGCTCTCGCCTCCTGAAATTCATGTGAACGTTATTTATTTTCCATAATACCTTAATGTATTGTATTGTATTCGTTGAGCTTGCAAAGATGAAAGTTAGAATAAATAAAGGAAATAGTAAAAGGTTGACATGACATTTTTTCAAAATTACGTAAATAACCGTAAAATAGGGTATTAAAATTTGTATGGAAACTTTTTACGAATGTGAGAATTGATTCAAACTCGATTTGGATAAATTAATACAAAGATGCCGTGTCAGAAGTTCTCCCAACTGACCTACGGAACGAAACACCAGACCTCACGAATGTGCTTGTTGCAAATCGTAGTTTTGAAGGCGCTGGCGCGTTCGAATCCATCCGGATCGAAGGAATTTTTGTTAATTCCTTCGCATTGACTTACAAATAAATGGACGACGGGTCTAATACAAAAACCACGAAAAAAATGTCCCAAGTCAACCTATTCGAAATTTAAATTGTAATGTCATCGCAGTATCGCGCTGTCAGTCGAACAAATGAAGACTAAAGCAGAGTTTGACGCTCTGTATACGATTTTAAGGCCTTACAAGCGCGGACACTTTTTAGCGCGGACCCGACGTCCATATAATTGTATGTCAATGGGTCTTCGCATTAAAATAATCGCACACCATGGTAGGAAAACTTCAAAGTACCATTAACAATTGGTTTGGATACTTTAAAATGTAAAATAAATAAACACGTGTTCGAGGGGTTTTTTAAACAATCCCCAAACAGCGGTAAGTTAAAGTATCAAAATATTATAATGGATGCAAATTTGCACGGACGAAGTTGCATGCAACTGCTAGCTGCCCGTATATTTAGATATTTCCCAATTTTTTTGGAGAAGTATTTTGAGTACTCCGCAATGGGTTAGTTCTACATGCTATACTCAACAGTGAACTATTACAAGAGAATAGGTGGAAGATCTCCACATAAATCTCACAGCTTGCAAAGGTGCTCACGCATCTGAATGCACTCGTACCTCAGCTCCAGAGCGCAGTGTATTAATTGGGAAAACGTCATAGGTGGAGTATACACAATTATGTAAATGCTTCGGTGGCCTAACTATTTACATTGTGGGTGCTGGATGCAGAGGTCCCGAGTTCAACTCTCGGCAGGACCAATTTGCAAAATGAACTTTTCTAAATTGGTCTCGGCGTTCTGGGAAGTGTATTAGGATTGTAGAAACTTGAAAGGCTCTGGTCTCTGTCTATTGCTATGGGAAAAGGACGTGGTATGTATGTACATATCTTATAATAAGTAGGTAGATAACAAATTAATAAAAAAAATAATTTGGTAGGTTATTTAGGATCAGGGGACACTAAGCTTTATAGGCTTTACAGGTGAAAGAAGACACCAGAAGGTTCATAAAACTTTTCCAAGACCTTTCTGAACACTCAAACTCATAACAGAAATAAATGTAGTTCATACAAATACTTCTCCCGGCCCGGGAATCGTACCTGGGACCTCTGCGTGGCAGTCCAGTATGGTAACCGTTCGGCCACGGAGGCAGTTTGAATGTCTTAGCGTCGTAGGTTGTGACCAAAACTCCTCTCCTTCGAAGTAATGGGACTTATCTGTGCTCTTATAGTACAAGCTATTTAGAAATTATTGTAAGAAAAGTAAAGGATCTTTCTAAAGAAATCTTTATTATTGAACAGGTATACATTGTCTTTCACGTGTTGTTATAAGTACTTGATGCGTGTGAAACCGTGTCATGATAACAGGTGTGAGATCACCCTTAACGTGTAATTCTTTATTATTATGTCGCATAAGGAAATATTTAAAACATTTATTGTTGGTTTTTCAGCTATAAAATGTATTTTAACCTTGTAAATGACACGTTTGGGAAAATAGAACGCAAACATTCATTATATTTTTATTTTTCCTCTCATCCGTAGAACAAAGATCTATGAGTAAGACTACTTGTTATCAGGACATAGTACATTTCGTTCGTTCTTCTTCGCTGTGCACTTTTGCACAAAACAGCATAATTAGGCATATTTTTAGGATTTTAGAGAATTTGTACGAAAGAATGGCACAACCATACCATACAATGCGAAATTGCGGACTGAGCTCAGATAGGTCTTTCGAGACCTATAGTTGGCACCCGTCTGACGCTAACTAACTTAACTACTTAATACTTCTACTATATTATTGTTCTGTGACTGCAACAGACCCGTCTGTGTTACCGCGCCGACGAGTTTTTCTTGTGCGCATGTGCGAGCACGTGTGAGGTGATCGGTAATTACGACCCGAAAGTGTAATTTTCAATGAAAATCATTCAATTAAGTAATATGGGATGTTTTTGTATATTTTTTAACACAAGGAATTCGTTGTTTTTCAGAGACTTTAAAAAAAGGAGGAAGTTCACTATTCGACATTTTTTATGTATGTATATTATGCGATACGGCGTGGAATACGTGTATCTTACTATTGTTCCCATTTAAATTTGAATAAATGTTCCACCTCTAAGGGTGGCTTAAACTAGGGTATGAAACCGGATTCGTGCACTTTCCGGTAACCGACTTCAATAAAATTTGGCTAATAGATGTAATTCCACGAACTTTTGAAGTCGGTGTTTTATTTATAAAAAAGTTATATTATTGAAATGTAACAGCTTAAAAATTCTGTAAAGGTACGAAGTTACGAGTTTTGTGCGTTGTTATTTTGAAAATAACTTAAAGGGCCACATTTTTATTCCATTTATTCCATTTTTTAATAAATGACATATTGTTGGTCAAAGCAAAATTCAAAGGATATAATGAATATAAATATAAACATTACCTCCGAGGCCGAACGGTTATCATGCTGGTCTGCCACGCAGAGGTCTCGAGTTCGATTCCAGGGCCGGGAGTTTGGGTGTAATTTGTAGTTGTCTATGTGTGTGTCCATGGCCACCGCGATATAGGGTTTCCTGGGCGCAGGGCTATGAGTGTGTGCATTTATTTATTGATTTATTTATTTATATACAACACATATGCTATAAGTATAAATATATTGTTATTACGATAGTTGCTGAAGAAAATGCACGTTAAAGAGAGCATGGTGTAATTACAGGCACATGGGATTTGTCAACTTATGTCTCAGGGTGACAGACGCAGTAGCAGTGCCCCTCAGATCTTTGTGATTTAAAGCTCTGAGTGGCACTGCAATTGTTATGGATAGGCGTGTCGCTTACCACCAGGCGCATTATTTGTTTGTCTCGTCACATGTATCATAAAAAAGAACTTTCGAGAACATTCGAACCAGAGTCTGTTGCTGGGCCACAGTAGCTCAGTTAGTTAAGAGCGGTGACCCCAGCACGGCAATAGATGCTGGTTCCAGTCTAGTTAGATCGACGGAATTTTTCTTTGTATTTAATAATAACATATTAGAGGTTCCTAGCGTGGACTGCGGTGTAAATATCTTCTCCTTAGACCCGTAGTTACTTCAGTCACTTGGTATCAGAAAAAAAATCCATTGCGTACTAGACACTAGTCAAATTACCTGGCTAGAAATAAATTAAACAATCATTACGTCTCACCACAACAATTGTAAGAGAGTAAGTATAGTATGAGTCGCTTCCTCTAATAAGGCGATCTAAGGTTATTTAGATGTACGTTAATTTGATATAGGGTGTGAATCACCTTAAGGGCAAGGCATAATAATTTTAGAATCACAAAAATAATACGCATATTGACTGATGAGATTGCTCATACATCATTCACGCTCAGTGCAGCCACGAAGTTAGATTTTTCGTAATTTTTGATCATCGCGCATTATGTTAGTAATTTATTAGAACAGTAGAGCTCTTTGTGAAAGAGTTCGTCTAGGAAAATACTGCCACCTTATACGTGTTTCTGCCGCCAAACAGTAATGTGAGTATTAAACAGTAAGGTGAGATTGCATGAGTATAAAAAAAACAAACTTTGCTTCGAAGACAATTTTCGTAACCTTTGAGAACTTTCGAACCAGTGTCAGTTGCCATGCCGGGGCTACAGTAGCTCAGTTTGTATAGGGCATAGGTAGGTTCCCAAAGTTTTTTCTCACCACCTACTTAGGCAAAGTATAAAAACTTCAACGCCGACCACCACAAAAAAATACGAATTGTTTATATTAACACAAAAAATTACGAGGAAACAACTTTGTATATGTGTAGTGTAGTTTATATAGATAATTTAGATATTAACATATCAGAAGTTCCCAGCATGGGCTACAGTTTATATATCTTCTTCTTAAAGAAGACCCGTACCCAGTGTTAGGACTTAAATGGTTAGGTAGTTATTATGATGAGTCAGATTTCTATATATAAATCGGAAAGTTGTCCCTTGTAGGCCGAGGAGCGCAAGCGCAGATTCTTTACATCCGTGAGTCATATGTTTAGATTTTTATGAGGATGTCACGTTGGAATGAATTATTTTAATTCCGTTAGTTATTTCTTTTTAATGATTAGTGTTAGAAAGTTTTGTAACAGATCTGAAAATTCGTTAATAAAGAGGTTATTTTTGGAAAGATACCAATTACGTTAGAACAGTAAGATTTTCCCGCCTAGTCTTAAAACTTACGTCAAAATATTATTTTTAAAATGACCGTAGATAACGTAAAGTTTGAAAAGAAAAAAGATATTTTGTAGTCAAAGTTACTTAGTGGCAAAAACCGCATGGACGGCAAAACAGAAGACATTAAATTTATCAATGTGTATTTTGTCCTATATAATTATAATTTAAATGCTCCGAGATGCAGAGAGAAATGCGTTGTGATCCTCCGAGGTCGGTTACAAGAGTATCGCAATCTATACGTTATTACAATTTAAATGGCATAAAATATACCTTGCTGAATTTAATGTAACTTTCCCGTCGGCCGGTTTGCACTCGCCCTTACAAATTTAAAATGATGATTAAGAATATGGTGTAATGATCAGTATCTCTTCGACAAGTAAAGTATGCAATATCTCCAGCTTGAATTAAAATTTTTCCCGTACTAAATCGGTTCTGCTGCGCGGGTCGAGCGGCAAGGGCACTGGTTTTATTTCAGAATTTATTTTATTACAAACGAAGTCAAAGCCATTTGAAAAATGTATATAATGTATATAGTATACTATACGTGCTCTGTTTAGTTCAGTTGATATAAAAAAAATCATTGGTATATGAAAAGTACATATTGAATATAGCGGTTTTCTCGTAATGTCGAGATAACTTTGTGTTTTTTTCTATCGTGAAAATGTTTAGGAATCATGTTTTCACCCCGTATACTAATCAGTGTATATTCTTAATGTTATTATATATTTTTTTCAACGCATTTGAGGTTGTATCGAATCTTAAACCACCACAGTTGAAACATCTACATATATGTTGTGTGCATGCACGAGTTTGTAATCTGTATTTGCTACATGGAATTCCCGCGGTGCAAATTTAAATAATTAATTGAATAAATAGTGAAACATTTCCTCTTGAGTTCATTTTGTGCTGTTAGTGTAGCCTACATTGGACCTGTTGGGAATTAGCATCTCTTTATGGATTTTCGATTGCTGGCTTATGGTACCGCCAATTGCTTTGTGAAACGTCGCAATTGCGGTCAATATCTCTTATAGAGAACTAATTGCTATCGTAATTAAAAAATTATCAAATTGAGAGAACACGATTTGAATAATCAAAAAATTACTAAAGGAACGTAAAAGTGGATTATTAATTATAATGTATGAATAAACATAATTCCATTATCCGCAATAAGATTCCTTCAGTATTTTTTAACAGATTTAAAAAAAAGGAGGACGATCTCAATTCGACTGTTTTTTTTTCTTTGTGAGGAAATCGATTGCTTGGTATCGATTGATACCAAGGGTGCGATTTGCTTTTTCGATATCTTAAGTGATGCCAGAGTGATTACTGGCTAAAACCGATTACAAATAGTACAGCTTGTATAGAACCTTAAAGGTTGTAACGTCTCTAACAAAAAGATGCTTTTCGAGAATAGCAATACAAGACGTACAAACCAAAATAGTTAATATTTTTTAATTGTTACATAGCTGTATTCGAGTGAGCCGCCCCGGGTGCACGTACAGTACCCTCCCCATTTTCCCCTCCCTCACTTCCCGACGCCGAAAAACTTTATTATTGTTACAATTTCTCAGACACCGAAGTCTCGACTGAAGAGCATGATAGAGAATAAAGCGGGAGGCGCCAGTCTGAGAGTAAATATGAGACTCCCGCGATACTGCAAGGGATGTCCTTTAGCAGCGTGCGCTGGTGGGCTCCTCTTCGATGCACCCCGTCTTAATGTTTTTTTTATGACTATAATAGTCGCAGTGCCACTCAGTGCTGTAAATCACATAGATCTGAGTGGCACTGCCACTGCGTTCTTCACCCTGAGATATAATTTGACGTCTCATGTGCATAAAATTTTACCAGCACCCTTACCCTTCAATACTGTACCGCAGTAATGCTTATATTAGTGCTTGGCGGCAGAAATGGGTAAGATGGCAGTACTTCTCTGGACGAACTCTTTCACAATAAACTCTACTGCTTTGTTACTAGATACAGATACCAGCCAAATACCGTGTTTTTAACTAGTAAGCTTAGTAAATACTCAACATAGTGTGGAAGAACGCTACAGTGACTGTACTAACACGTACAGTCAGGTGCAATACACCCGAAAGAGAGTGACCTTCTGAATTCCACGCAAACCTGTGAGGCAACTTTCGTGCATGTTCTATGACAACATTGTCTCAGAGTCGTACTGTTACTATGTGCCCTAAGTATTTTAACACGTCTTGACAAAAATATACCCATGTCACTCACCTTTAATTTTCCCTGCTTCACAAGAAAGACGGGCGTTTCGGGCATCGGAAGAAAAGCTAGTATGTGCAGCACTGGTATCGCTGTGCACAACCACATGACTGCCGCGAAAGAAAGAAAGTCACCAGCGATATAGACCACGAGGTAGCCGACGTTCTGAGAGAGGATGAAGAGGGAGCCTAGGGCACCGCGGATGTGATCTGATGCTATCTGAAGAAAGAAAATCATTTCAAAACATTTTACATGTTTTTATTATATTTAATCATTTATTGCACAGGAAAACACAAAACACTTTAAGTAAAAAGGAAAACACACTCAAATACACTGCTCTTCCTGCAGACGTAAATTTACGTACATACGAGTAACAAACAAAACTATGTAATAAAAAAAGAAACAACATCAATTACATTTAAGCGTGAAACATAGAGAGCGGATGCGGGTCGGGCGTGTGTCGGGCGCGTGTCCACATAAATACACGGAATAAAACCCGCCGTGGTCCCGACCCGACCTGCGCCCGACCGCACCCGCTCTCCGTGTGTTTCAAGCTGAAATTATTATAAACTATGTAAATATCGAAGTTCTTACGTTTTCATGATTGTTACACATAGGAAACAATTGAATGTGTAGGTTTATCTATGTCATGGATAAACCTACACATCAATGTAGTTTGACAAACCCCCAGGTCTTTGTAAAAGAAGTCCGGTATCTACCCAGGACGCAGCGAGGGGCCATTGAAATTAAAAAACATCCTAATTTCAACAGGGAAGATGGATTCTCCGTACCACCAGTTTGGGATCCAGTATTTCCTCTGATGAAAAATCCCAAACAGACATAAGACTGCAATACTAATTATTATGTTTTAATTTATTCTCATTTCCATTATTAATTAATAATAAATTTAACTTAACAAAAATTAATATCGTTACAATAAAATAATTTGTAAAACAATGTAGCGTTAATTGGAATTTCTTTGTGAAATTTAAAATAAGGTATTTTTAATTAATACCTTTTGTAACTATAGTGAAAATATGGGTGGTTTGCATTAAAATTAGACATAACTGGTTGATGAGTGTACCACCTCACTCACCGTGACCATGGGACCTGTAAAGGGCCCGAAACGTCGGTATGTTTGAAAAAACAATATATGCGATTTAATTCCGGATAAATAGTTTCATTTCCTAATTATACATTTAAATACTTACATAAATACATATTTTATATTATAGTACTCACAGAATTGACTTTTGTTTATTAGACAATAAGTTAAAAAGTACAATAAAAGCTTAAGTACTAAATTAAAACTAGGGTTAAATTATGTGAATAAAATTGTGTCTCCGTGGCAAAGTGCCCAAAATGCTGGCAGCGTTCCCCGCCTTTGCTATGCTAATGCTTTAGCTGCCGGCCGTTGGGTTTCCCAGACTGTCTATTAATTTTTTGGATAATATTTTTATTTCAAATATCACGGACAGAAACAGTCTAAAAGAGCTTTGTCATCCAATAAGGAAGCTAGCGTATTGATTTGCTAGATTATGCGTAAGTAAAGACATACGCATAATCTTTTGTATAAAGATTTAGCTTTACGATACTTCGCGAAAATATTTTTTTAGTTCGACAAGATTTTTATTCTAGAAGCGTAGATATTGCCTTGTACTGAACTTGTTAGTTCTTTACACGGGTTGTAGAAGAATTTAGACTACTATAGACGAGTTTCCTCTAGATGGACTGGGCGTAATAACAGTGTACCCCAGTTGCTATTAAACGATAAGTATCAACATCTAATAACAACTATGTAATGTAGCTGTAGGTGCGTTAAGAGGTAAGTGGTAAGTTCTAAGTTCTAGCCACAGGTAGGTATAGGTACTTCAAATTTTCTCTATTATATAGGTATGTATGAGGAGAAATTTTGATGGGAGGTGATTGTACATCATGAAAACGAACTTATCATAAAAAAAATAAACGGCGAAAAAAGTTGTTACAGGCACCGGATTTTTTAAAATTACCTCCTTCAAGTACAATGGCGTGACCACGTAGCAACCGGCACAGGCCAGGCCTGCGACCGCTCTGGAAGCAATCAATGCCCAGGGTTGGAGACAGAAGAGTATGATAATCCAGCTGATCTGAAAGAGATAATATTGTTAATATTTGAAAAACTAGCAAACGTCGTTTGGCTAGCTTTATCGTTCTGATTTGCCTAATAGGTAATTTATTTAAATTTATACCCACGGAAATGCCATAGTGTGTTTCTTTACCAATTTCTGCCGCCAAGTAGTAAAGTCAGCATTACTGAGCTCCGGCTTTGAAGGGTAAGGGTGCTGTGAAATTACAGGCACATGCGTCTTGTCAACTTATGTCTCAGGGTGACAAGTGCAGTGGCTAGTGCCCCTCAGACCTTTGCGATTTAAAGCTCTGAGTAGCACTACAACTGTTATGGACAGGCGTGTAGTTTGCTATCAGGAGCACGACTTATTCGTACCGTCACTTGATATTATAAAAAAAGTAATGTAACTACCGTGGCTTTACTACCACGGCATGACGTCGAATATCCTATCAAGTAAAAAATCAGACCGTAATTAGACACCTGTAACTAAAATCATGCTACAGACAGATTTGGCACGAATTTTCTCGGTTTGGTTTGTATCTATTGAATTTGTTCCAGTTAGGGTTCTTTAACACGTGTATATACACAATTAAATTTAACTGCCTCTGGCAGAACAGTTACCATGCCGGGCTGCAACGCAGAGGTCCCAGGTTCGATTCCCGGGCCGGATCAGATCTAAACTGACGTATATTTGTTGTTTTATCAAACAAACCTCAGTCCTACGATAGAGAGAAAGAAGAAATCAGCGTTTCGGACCATTTATGGGTTCCATGGTCACGGCTGACAGTTTTGAAACGTTGATTTTCATACAATGAAAAAACAAATGTACGCAATTGAAATTATAGAACATACTTTATATGTGGTCTGTGTAATTTTAATGTAATTTTCTAATATAATAGCAATCACGAAAACCCTCTCGTTATGACTTAATTTTTTTATGCAAGGTAGATATTTCACGAATTTAACTTCTTGTAATGGAAGTAATATATTTGATTTAGATTATGAACTTCATGGTTGACAAATATTGTAATAAATTTTAAGACTTACAGACAGCATAAGCGAAGTCAGCAAAGTGACGACTTTCCTTCCCCATCGGTCAGCCAGATCGCCAACAATAAAGCCACAGAAGATCGCAGGAATGAAAGTAACGGAAGCCATCCAAGATATGTGGTTATCGGTGATTGACTCAGGAGCCGGTCCTTGGGGATCTTGAAGGATTGGTGTCATGGGGGACTGCCAGCCCATTACCATACCGAAGTTGAGAACAGGGATCGTCACTGTAACAAAATTTATGGTTAGTTTGGTCATGTTTGAGCATGTGACTTACCGATTACTGCCGTCAAGCAATAACTGCGTTCCCATTTTGAAACATAAAGAGTGCTGGTGTAATTATGGGCAACTGGGAGCTGTCAACTTACGTTTCAGGCGCAGTGTCCCAGGTCTTTGTTATGGATAGGCGTGTAGCTTACCACCAGACACATGCTTTGTTCATCCCGTCACTTGATATTACAAAAAAAATGACGAGCAGTGTTATTTTTATATAATTGAATATCATGTTTTCGTACCATAGTATTCATATAAAACTCAATCAATCAATACCAATCCATTTATACGTCCTACTATCAAGAGTGGATTTTGACCATAGTCCGCCTTCTTCTTTTTAGGGTTCCTCTCCTATCGGAGGTTGGACAACATCATGGCAATCCTGAATTTAGAGGCTGCCGCTCTCAAGAACGAGGTGGTACTGTAATGGAACTATTCCCTCAAATGTTTCAACCAGGAGTGCCACCTTCTAAAAATATTTCGTTTTACAGCTTGGATGATGAGCTGGAGTAATTTGTATTTATTGTTCCTCAAGGCGTGGTCGTGTACATAGTCCGCCACCGTGGGCCAATGCAGACTTTACGCGCGGTTGTGAACCTTTTTCGACATGCAGGGTTCATCGCCGTTTTCCTTCACCGAAAACTTCATGGCAAATTTCAAATTAAATTTTGCACATATCGTCGGTGTTTTGTAGAAAGGGCGCCATTTTGAAAAATTTTTAAGGGGAGCATGTTTTAGTTTTTCAAGACTGTTTTAAAATATTTACGTCCTGTTTTAAGATCAATTTTAAAACTTATACTTAATTAAGACTAAAATTGAATTTTGAACAGGACATACATATTTTAAAATAGTCTTTAAAACCTTTTTAAAATCTACAAAACACCGAGATATATTTCAATAAACGCAGAAATCCCGACCTTTGCTTAAGAGGCGGTTGGTCAAATCATTAGGGCGCCATCAAATTAGACTTTAAAGCACAAAGATCTGAGGGGCATTGCCGCTGCGCCCGTTACCCTGAGACAGGTTAATAAGACTCATGTGCCCGTAATTTCACCAGCACCCTTACCCTTCAAAACCAGAACGCAGTAATGCTCACATTACTGCTTAGTGGCAGAAATAGGTTAAGGCAGTACTTTCCTGGACGAACTCTTTTACAAGGAGCTTCACTGCTACAAAAAAGCTATGAATTCCATTAACTCGAAAAGTAATTGAGTAAAACTCGAAAGTAAAACGTGGAGATCTTGGATGTTTTACACACGAATGAAGGTAAACGTACATATTATGGCACATTTAACAATTGATATACGTTAATTGGCCATGTTAAACACGTCAAAAATGTACTTCCACTTATCACTTTACTCGTGTAAACAATAAAAAAATTATAAGCCTATGTTGTTTCACTACAAGGTAAAGCGTACACTAATCAAATGGTCGATGCCTTACGCTCCTATGTAATTTCCGGCTAATCAGTCAGCTAGGTAGACGGACGTCCAGATCGTCGTGGTTTGCCACGCGGTTATACTGTTTTGGCGTCTATTACGTTAAAAAATAAGAACGTAATCTTGGAGAACAGCTTCAGCTCGTTCTCGTTCAGTTTGTTCTACCATTATAAGTTTTTATATAAAAAAAGACTTCAAAAGTCCATGGAATTATGGAATTACATCTATTTCGTCGCCTTACTTTCTCAAAGTCGTATCTTAAAGCAAAAAGTTATTGACATCTAAAAAATGGACTGAATATAAAAATTTTGCAAACTGATTTCACATCACATTGCCTTGAATGTGATATATATATATATAATATTTAATTTGGTTGTTATTTTTATTTTGATAATATACAGGTAAGGCAAAAAAGACAATAAAAGCTTATATACTAGAAAGTAAAACTAGGATTTTTAAATTATATTAATAAAATTGGGTCTCTTCTCTTGGGTAATCCGTCGCCATCCTTCTTTTATTTTCGAAGGAAATTTTTAGACATTTTAGTTTACTTGAGAATCGTTATGATCGCGCTCTACAAATACTTTATTTAAATTAAAAAACACAGTATAACAGATGTTCTTAAATTCGAATTACTATCGGAAATATTGTGTTTTAAAAGGAAAATGTTCACGCTACATTATTTTAATACTTTTTATAAAAAAAAAAACTGCTGGTCGCTTAAACAAAACTACGGCTATTTATCTTCATAAAGAGAAGAGTTTCTTTTATACAGAATTCGAAAAAGTAATTAGTTAATATTTGGTGGTTTTAACAAGTCTATTTTGGCCCTAGTAGCTATATCGTATATGTATCTATATATGTGGAGCACCTTTTTGCGACCATTGGTAATGACAAGGAGGGCAGTGTGATTATCTGGCACACTAAAAAACATGACTTAGAAATCAAATAAGTACAAGCTGCCACAACGATTGAAATTATTCTCATAAAGTTTTTATGATTTGTGCTGTTTTTATAGCATAAATATTATACACGAGTCTGCCTCTTAAGGCTAAGTTCAGATATTTTACGATGTTTTCAAATCGCGCGTCCAGATATTCATATATTCTATATGCATTCATTCATATTATCATGTCGGTACCGTACAAAAATGTCTTTGCTAATTACTGATAAATCAAGTTTTTTAATTATTTTTTTTAACGCCAATGGATTTTTTTTGTCAATTTTATGAGCTGATTTTGCAAATGAAACTGACTGAAGAAAATTCATTGGTGTTACAAAATTCATTAAAAAAAGCCGATTTTCAGCAAAAACGCGCTTGATCCCTAGACATTTTAGATGCGTTTACCTCGCCACCGCTGCAAACGCGCATTGTCGCGTATTTAGAATTATAGGCACTGATAGTGTGCCTGTTCAAGTGACCGTGTCTTATCGTGCATTGAAGGTAATTATGCGCACCGCGCGTTACCTGTAGTCATCTGTGGCCATGGCATAGCAGAATATGTGTGATAACATCCCCGTGTCAATATTTAATTCAGTTGACAAACCTAAGTTTGCAGATTTGGTAATGAACTATTGTTATACATTTTGAAAAAAAGGACAACGATATAAAATTGCGTATATAGCTCTCTTTGTCGTTTATTCATCGCTGCGAAAACGAGGTAACAAAAAACGTCTTTTCATCTCGTTTATCGCGGTAAATTTTTATGTTGATAAAATTACTGTACTTTTGCAGCTATCGCCGGCGCTCGCGATGACATAAAAATGTAACGTCAATGTGCTCGCCATGTTCGCTATTGCGATAAAATTTATTTTTTAAAGTTTATCACTCAATTTGACAGCTAAATGTGGATGTAATAGCTTTATCGAGGCGGCATACTATGGGGGCTGAACGTTCCAACGCGCTTTATAGCCGGGTACTAATTGGCGAGCTGTAACTGTAACGTGCAGATACAGTATCGAGGTTCTACGCCTGAAACAGTCTTCAAATAGACGGCTCACTGCGAACCGCACGCGGCAAGATCGCCAACCACGTACACACTATGATTTTTGGCTACATAACATGTAACGGTTACAGTTATAGCTCGCTCGTGAGTACCCGGCTTAACACGCATTAACGCGCGCCACGTGTGCGTCTACCAATCGGGGCTAGGAAAAGCTGCGTTTCATCAACCAATGGTATTTCTATCTTGACATCAATAAAAATAATATGGCGAATTATTATACTCAGTCAAAATAACGTCTGCATGCCGCTTAATCGAAAATAACGAAATTCTCTTGGTTACGAGTAAAGCGCAATATACATATGTATTTCGATAATTTAATTCATTTTATTATGATTGAAAAGAAAAATACAAGAATATTGCCAGTTTAAATATAAAAAAATCTACTTATTCATCGTCTTTATTAAATTCAAAAAATATAAAACAATTATGTTTTTTACATTGTACAAAATCATTAACAGTAAAAAAAAAGTTGTGATAACGGCTTTCGTAATTCTTTTAATATAAATTCCTTGTTGATACGTTTAAACAATAGCTTGTTTAAACAAATCTTTAAATAACATATTTCTGTTTTTATTGCTTAAGTAAATTAATACGTAAATGTGTTATCGTGGGTCAATAGGTACAGTTAGCGCTATATTTGTTCGTTCAAAGCAACCAAAGATATCTATTTATACATCCAGAGATAGTCAAAAGAGATAAGTTTATCTATAAGTACGAACTTTTCCCAAAAACAAATATATATAAACAATAAATATAAAAAAGTACATAGGTACAACTTACAGATAGGTACTAATTAAATTAACATCTGGAAATAAAATCATATTTAAAAGAAACTCTAATGACTAATTGTAACTAAAGTATGTAACCGGACAACTATCACTTTTTCTATTTTCTTAACGTTGACCGATATCTAGACGCCAAAAAAGGCGTAATATCAAGTACTGATTCGACCGATTCGTAATAAGCTAATAAAAGACTTGCAAAACATAAAGTCGATAATCTCTTGTCCAAAATGCCGTGCGAGAAAATGGTAATGGTAAAACTGACAAAAAAATTCCCAAAATCAGGGATAGATGGCACGTTTCGCAAAAAAATTGTGTCTGAGTTACCAGTGCCTGTTCCTGTGGTATGTTATTAATTAATTGAGTTTTTTTGTTATGGCTTAACTTCTTGCCTTTTGACCATATCAGTACACAAAATAATTTCCTCTGAACTTTCGTCACGTCACAAACCCACGGCACCATTCAGGTTCTATTAACTCTGTTTAAAGCTTCTGTAGTTTATTTTGATATAATAATACACCGAATATATTTTATTCAATTACGTAACACATAACCTCCAATACTTCAAACCGAAATATCTTAAATTCCTGACTTCTCAGAATAGAAAAACAAAAACAAAATTTGATCAGGAATTTCAACGCTATGTTTACACATTTTTTTTTATAAACAAACGCGTACCAATAACGTCAATAAAAATTTTTTTGGAGTTTGCCATTGTCCTTTAAAA